GTGTGGGGGTTGAATGATTGTCAACTCCCACCGGAACATCGCATTAAATAACTACTACTGCGGTAGGTACACGACGACGGCGCAGTGAACAAAGTGTATAATCCGTTCATCGACGACACGCCCGTGCGGCATACCCAGCACGCACACGCATGTTCACTATAGTATATATAACAAAAAAAAAATATATATATATATATATTACATACATAATATGTATATTAATACACTCCATGTATTTTCAAGTGCACTCATCATATATACTCATCACATCACAACACAACAATAATAATAATAATGATATTATAATAGTACAATATACGACTCATCCCTACGCTGTATATTATTCTTCGGCATAAGCATAATGATATAGGTAATATTGGTCGATTAATTATCAATATGATAATCATAATGATTTTTAAAAACAAATTTTGTTTTTTTTTATATCAACAATAAGCCTCGCTGCAGAAGGAATGTGTCGGTATGCTTATATTATACTGTACTATATATTATATATATATATATAATAAACATAAATACATAGGTAAAATATAATATAGTCGCCATGACAGAAATCAATCGTCATATTAAGAGTGCGAATAATTTTTTTATTGATATTCCTCGTCACGACAGAGGACTGGAGGAGACAAAAATCCAGGCGAGACTATAACTATAGCAATATAATAAAATATAATAGTATAATATAATAAACCTAATTATAAATAGTGACGATTGTAAATTTTTAAGCTTTTTTTACATTTTTTTTTTTTTTATAATATTCCATATTTTGAAATTTGTATTTAAAGTATAAAATACCTTGATAGCATGTCGGGTATTAAATAACATGTTTTTAAATTTATTTATTTCGATAACCACATATTAAGAAACAAGTGTAATGTAGCTATTTATTCCATTATCTAAACTTTAAATGTGCCAAAAGAATAAATACGATTTATTGGTTACTTTTTTTATAACAAATACTAAACTTTTTTCGATAATTCTGTATAGGTGCCTCAACAAATAAAAAAACCAAGCGAACGATTTGAAACCCTGCAGATTATGAACCTACAATTAAATCACAAATTTGTTTATTAGCCTTAAAAATGCATCTTTATATTATATACCTACGTATTATTATTTATCATGTCATAGTATTTACGTGTCAAGACGTGTCATAATAAATGATTTATCGAGTAAAAATATTATTCATATATTGTCGCTCGGTAATGGTTATATTGAAATATATGAATATAGGTATTATTTTTAATATGCACGGAGCTCAAAATATAAATTTCATCAAACCATTTATATATTTATATATTTATATATTATGCTATGAGTAATTTGATATCTACCCGTCATCGTCAGGTACTAACTAAAAAAAAATAACATCTTCAAAAATCGAAATATTTGATATAATAGGTCGTATATTTCACAACAGAATTTGATGAAATAGTAGGCGTACACTCAGCTAAACAAAAATCTATGCATATGATTATCGGGCAGGCAGGTATTAAATAAGATGTTACAATAATATTTAGTAGGTAGTAAAGAAAAACAAGGAATTAGTTTTCAACTGTTAATTTTATACACTTTATAATTGACGAGTGTAAATTTCATTAAATGATAAATGTAACGTTATATTTCATGTTCAAATTGCGTTAACTGATAATGTATGTTGATTAATATCGTACTTATAAAACATACGTATTTTATATACCTATACGTGCCTACGTCCGACGTCGTAATTATACATATTAATTATTAAAATATTTATAAATCATAATGTTATTCTTGTACTACGCTATACATCCATAGTTGTAAGCAGAATAAAGAATATTATATAGCTTCAAAGCAACATTCGTTAATCATTATTAAAAGGAAATTTAAAAAAAAAATGCATACAATACCTATAACGTGTGTAATTAAAAAAAAAATAAATTATAAACAGCAATAACCAGTAGTTGTATACTGTCTTAGCACGGAGGTAACAAACGCTTCCTATAATTAATGTGTAAATAATAAAGTTAAGAGTCACCTTTTCGACGCGTTAGTACTTAGTACTTACCTAACCTATAAGGAGCCGCAGAAATTGGGAGGCCATCACTGACGTACCTACATAATGTGACTATATATATATATAGATGACACTATAATAATTTTGGGTAGTGATATTAACGGTGAAAAATCAATATTCTATATTGATTTTGATAGGATCACGCTTACTCAAATTTCAGTTAAATTAAAATATTTCATATTTTGTTTTGATTTCAAACCAATAAAACATATTGTTTTAAAATATTAGTTATACTAATATTTATACTTTACTAATACTTATACTTTTTTTAAAATTTTTCATTTAAGACGCTTTAACAATTTGATAGAACTTTTGATTTGAAAACTGTGGAATTCCTCGAGGCAGTGCAGGTGCGTATAATTATACAAGCGTCGCATTGTCGACAGCTGTGATGCTTTTCGCTCAGATATAGTGCACATCCACATTAGACGTTCAGGTTACAGCTACACACGCCGAGGCCTAACCTATATACCATCTTGACGTTACTCGACCTGAGCATAATATAACAATGTGATAAGAAGAAGGGGGAAAAAAACAGTCTTTTCGTCGATTATTTTTTTATTTTTTTTTCTCAATTCTTTTTGTCTGCCCGCAGGTATTTACGGGACGCTGTTCAGGCGCAACAAGGAGGCTGCGTTCAGTAACTATCGGCTTTGGGAGTCTGCTGGCTTCGTGGTGGCTTACGCGTACAGCACGCACCTGTGCGCCCGGAAGAAACTATACGTCATGGGCGTCGTGCTGTTTGTCGGGTTCGTCGGGTACATAATCGTCGAGATCAGGCACAGCGTCAAGGCCAGGCGACTCAAACGGCTGGCCGACGACCCGAAGTCGGAACCGCTGCCCGACGAGACCGTCAACGAGACCGACGACGAGAAGGACGATATCGATGACGAGATCATCGTGACGCATTTATGAACAACGGGTGAGTGGGCGACGACGGCTTATTAGCACAAAACTACAGCGAAACCTCTGTATAGTGGACAGAGCCGCGGGAAAATTAAAAATAACCTCCGCTGTAGAGAAAACCTCTACACGATTGGCATTGGCGAGATATTATTACCAAATCGTGTCCACTATACAGGGAGACGCTATATAGAGAATTGGTTATACACTGAATTTGGTACATATAGTTATTCAATATTTATTATATACAGGGTGATTCTTCTAGGTGGGTACACTAATTATCTTGAAAAGTATTTACTTTTTTCAAAATATTTTYTTACATGGTTTCAAGTTGTTAAAAACCCAACGTTTTTATTAAAAAATTATATTTTTAAATATTTTTTATCCTTATAATTTTTTAAGTTTTTTACTTTTTTGAATGACTACATAGAGTTTTAATTTCGTATTCCTAAGCAGACTATTTTTCTAAGTATTTTGATCCATAAAAATCGAATTTAGGACGAGTAATTTATGAGTTAGGTATGTGTATTTAAAGTTTTGACAAGCGGAGTAGTGGACAAACATTTTGCGGGGTAACCCCGTACCACTCCACTCTGCCAATCTAAACTT